ATCACAACTACAGATCAAACCATCAGAGACTTGCGTAAAAGAAATTGTGAATTATCGAAGAAGAATTGGAGCATGGCAAAAGAGATCGAAAATCAGAACAAATCATTGAAGAAGGTTGAAGATGAGTTACAGTCTTCTCAGCTTAGTTTGTCAGCATTATATGAAGACACAGACGATGATGACAATGACAGAGAGTCAAACACTCACACAGAATCTGCAGCAACTTCACAGACCTTGTTTCCAGACACGGAAGATGACAAAGAGGTAGAAGCCAAAGCCAAAGCCATGCCAAAGATGGATACAGGAGAACTTTAGAAATGAAAAGAACATTAAAAAGAAAGCCTTGCAGTGCTCCACATTCTCCATGTTGAACATGCTCATACTATGTTTTAAGGAGAAGGATATACAATATTACTGGTTGATGTATATCTTACATGTATACTGTAATCTTTATTTTTTTTTCTTGATTGGTTTTAATATTCAACACAAACATTGTATGGGTAAAAGAAGATTTCATATATTCTTTCTAACTGTCATACATGTACATTAGTAGATTAATTAAGCTGAATACAAGGGGAGGTTAGAAGCTGTTGTTCTAGCCGATCAGGCTCCCTTTGGGGAAGACAACCCTGGCTTGTGTCAAGTAGGGCTGAGAATGTATGTTTATCTTTTAGTCCTAGGACCAAGTTACCGCAAGGTGCCTGGTATATTGAATGGGTGAAAAGCCCATTGTGTTTGCTTTTCAATTGTTAGATTTCATGTAAATAAAGTGTTACTACTGTATGTTTGATGTTAATTGTTTTCTATCAGCTCTTTGAACTTGCATGTATTGTTTTATCTATTGTTCAAAAAAATGTTTAGAAATAGAACATAAGCTTCAAATTATTTATAACAAAGTGAATACACAAAAAGTAACTTAATAAGAAACCAAACGAACAAAATGAGAAGAGAAAATTATTGAGTAAACTTTAAATTGTTTTACACTTATACATGTATAGTACTGCTTCTAATCATCAATTTTTGCAGTCTTTAGATGCTTGTATTATGCCTACATGTGTAAAAAGAGTGAACCATTTTTTCCACATGAAAATGTAAGTGAAATCGTACCATCCCTTTTTTTCCATGGGGGAGTGGGGAGGGGGTAATGATATACGAAAGCCATCTTAATATCTCTACCACTTTCAAGCACTGCAATACACAACGTGCAAGGACTCGCTGTCAAATATGTCAAAGGTATAGTATTAGGATGGAAAGTCAATCAATGATGGACAATGCTATGTTCATCTGAGTAGAGTGCCAAAGATGTCAGGTTTGTCAGCAAGCAAAGCAGTAAACAAAGAATTGATGAGAAATGAGAAATAAAATTTCATTTTAGCTCTTCCATCATGAAATGAGGACTGCCAAACATAACTCATTGCTTGTTCACAATATTAGATCGTTACCTACACATTACATGATCTAAAGATACTTCAATTTCAGGACAAATATACTGCTGTGTGTCTTATAGAAACCTGGCTTCAATCTAATAAAAGTGCAACACTGTGCATCATAGGAATTTGCACTAGTATGAGTGAAGGCTACCATAGTGTTGGTAATGGCATAAAGCGAATCCATGGCTTTGCGGAAGCAATGATAAAATCAAAACTACAGACAAAACCGTGAGAGAATTGTGACCAAATATTCTGATTATCCAAAAAGTGTTAAAAGAGATTGAAAATCAGAAGAAATCACTGCAAAAAGGCTGAAGATGAGTTAAAGGGGAAGTCCACCCTGAAATTATGTTGGTTTTAATAATAAAAGCAGAAGAATGAGAAAAATGTATGAGTGAAGGTTTGACGAAAATCCATCGAAGGATAATCTGGTGACAACTTCTTCTGGTGGTTATGTGGCGGTATAAAAGCTACATTTGTAACAAATCATAATATGTTACTGTATTTAGAGAGGAAAATATTGAGAAATTAAATCTTAATGCTATTTGAAGAGATAAAGAATTTGCCAAACCGAGGAAGAAGAAAGTAGATGTAAGAATATGCCTTAAGCAAGTTACATGTAAGTTATCTTTGTAATCTTTGTTTTGACATGAATCCAATAAAGAGAGAGAAAAGAAAAACATGGCACCAATCAAAGTATGTTCAATATATTACTTTAAAAGGCCTACAAATTTATAAATTGTAAAGGCAGTAAAAAATTGCACATGCTTTGATATCATGGTCTACGTCCCTGTCGTGGTGCCGGTAACATATTGCTCTCACTATCATCATAAAGATGTGATCTGCTTAATTAAACAAATGCATAACCGAGTAAAATCACGTCTACTTGTGAATCAAAATTGAAATATTTAATTATTTGGTTTTAAAAATATTATAAGCAATGCATTTGTGCAGAGAAAAGGGTGAAAGCAATATGGCTGAAAGACCATCTAATCTAAGATATGGATACTCTTGGAAAATGATATCACTCAAAACATATCATGGCAAACATTGTACTTATCAAGTAAAATGTTAGCATTAAGAGTACTCATCTGTCAGTAACAGGCTTTATTTTATTTACAATGTGCATATACATTGTACTTCAAATAATAAAAATTGTGAAATAAATATATGCACTTAAAAATTTGAAAGCAAAATGGCTAAAAAGATTATCAATCATATGAATAGTTTTGATAAATGTCAATTTACACACAATTGTGCTAAAATTCTGATTTCCTAAATAACTTTCCCACAACACTTTTTATATCTCTAAATGAAAAAAAAAAAAAATAGAGCCAAGCAGAAAGAATATCTTCATCTATTTAGCACAATTCATGGTGACTGAAATCATTATCAAGCTATTCATGTGGTACGGTCTGTGCTATGGTATGTAAGCAGTGTATTACATACATTGCAGGCCATATGAAACTTTTTGTTAACCATTTCTCTGTTCCCTTTCTTTTTAGTTTCTGAACAGATGAGAAAAGAGAACATGCATGCGGATCATGGAAACTGTTGACATCATAACAACCTATATGGCATATGTAAGTGATTATTATGTACATGTAGGACCCTTGAATAGATGACAAAATCCCTTTTTGTATCACATAAGAATTATTGAATCATCATTAATTTCAATTTGACAACTGTAATGAAAATGGAATTGAATGTCAGAGAATGACCATTTATTGGGAGCAAATTATTTTGTTACACAACAAACAAAAAAGTTTTCAGCATTGAAATGAAATAATTTCTTAAAGTACATGTATTTTAAGCTTGGAATCAGGCATATTATACACATGTAGAATAAGCTACATGTATTACAGTAGTCTCCATAAGACGAAACAAGATCATGAAGGAATTTCTCAGTGGTTCTTGAAATAATATTGGGAAAAGTTTTCTAGCTTACCCAGTTACATAGCCCAAATGACGCAGCTCAACATTTAATTGAAATAGCATGTTAAAGGGAAACCATCTCAAATTAAAAAAAAATGTACTTTAGTCTCATACATTGTAGATGTTACATGGTTGTGTGGTCTGCAATATTTCACTCAGAACTATTCGAAAGAGGAATAAATCAAGATCATCTGGTCAATACATGTATGTATGGTTTCAAAGCAATACATGGAGGCTGCAATTTGTTTTATTTTGTTGTTGTTGTTGACAATATGTCATGAGACGGACTTAATACATGTAAATGTTCTGATGGGATTTTTTTTTGCAACAAACATATTTCAATATTTGAGTAATTTGTTACTCTTCAATAACATAAGATCCTAATTGTAAAAAAAAATAATGTATTAGAAAGAAGATAGAATAGGCTTTGAAAAAGAAAATTTATGATTGATCTGTTTTGAAATAGTGGAATAGGAGTCCATCTGGTACATCACATTCTCAAGAAAATGGCATCCTCTAGGTACATGTAGTAGAGGGAGTGATATATTTTGACAAGATTATCTTTATGTATTCCCTTTTGAAATGTTTTGGTGTGGAATCTTGTAGACCATCAAACTAGAAAACAATATAACTGTCAGAATAATATAATAACATATTCTCCAATCCAGGCACACTTGTCTACAATGATGTCCCAATATATGAATGAAGATGAAAGTGAAAAAGCAGAGTGCAAAGCAGAGAGGTACATTGGCCAGAGGTCGAATGCAATGTGCACGTTCAAGTACCTCAGTATGTTCAACCCAATCACTGGTAGCCATTGCAGACTATCATCAAGGAGATGGGATCTTTGGTACAGCAGCAGGGATGCAATGTACATGCAATGTACTGCAGTTCTTCACAACTGCACAAGAAAACATTCTTTCAAACTGGACAACCGACATCTTGAACAAAGTTCTTCATACTGGAGCAAGAATTTACAACACCCTTCAACAATGCCAAAGTACATCAGAAAGATATTTCATGATAGACGAGTTGCCAGAGTATCAGGAAACTAATAAGAACACCTATGAATTATTGAAAGGAAATGTACTAGCAGGGATCCTTACTGAAAGAGAGACAAATCCAGAGAATGGACAATATTCCCTATTAGATGCTATTGTACAAGGTTCTACGCTACACCCTTCACTGTTTATTACAATTGGCTCTACAACCCCAAGCTATACAACTGGATTGATGTCTTGTAATGATAGGTATTTCTTCTTTGACAGCCACAGTCGAGATGACAGAGGACTTAGTACTACAGATGGCTATGCAATTCTTATGTCATTCACCAGAATAGAGGAGGTAGTAAAGCACATCCACAACCTGGCACAATCTCTTCATATACCTACTGACCAATTTGAAGTGACACCAGTAACACTGTCCCCTATACACAAACAAGACAGATCAATACCTTACCCCAATAACAATGCTATGCATACATATTTCCGTGATCAAGCAGATAAGCAGAAAGCACATGCATCTATGAAAGAAACAAATGGGAAGCATGACATACATGTACTAGCAGAGAAGTGTAGAAAGGAATCCGCTGACCAAACCACTCCTTTAAAATCACAAGAAAAACAAAAGGAGAAAATGAGAAAAGCTTTATATCGATCAAGAAAACCCGATAATGTTAGGAGAAAATATGCAGAAAAGGACAAGGAAAGAAAAAAAAATTCTCGATCACGAAAACCTGATGATGTTAAGGAAAAAGATGCAGAAAAGGACAAGGAAAGAAAAGCTTCTTCTAGATCAAGAAAACCTGATGATGTTAAAGAAAGAGATGCAGAAAAGGACAAGGAAAGAAAAGCTTCTTCCAGATCAAAAAAACCTGATGATGTAAAGAGAATAGAAGCAGAAAAGGAAAGAAAGCGATTAGCATCTTTACGTCACAAGCAAACTGATAGCACAAAGGTTGATGAAAAACAAAAGGACAAGGAAAGAAAAACTTCTTCTAGAACAAGAAAACCTGATTATGTTAAAGAAAAAGATGCAGAAAAGGACAAGGAAAGAAAAGCTTCTTCCAGATCAAGAAAACCTGATGATGTTAAAGAAAGAGATGCAGAAAAGGACAAGGAAAGAAAAGTTTCTTCCAGATCAAGAAAACCTGATGATGTTAAAGAAAGAGATGCAGAAAAGGACAAGGAAAGAAAAGCTTCTTCCAGATCAAGAAAACCTGATGATGTAAAGAGAATAGAAGCAGAAAAGGAAAGAAAGCGATTAGCATCTTTACGTCACAAGCAAACTGATAGCACAAAGGTTGATGAAAAACAAAAGGACAAGGAAAGAAAAACTTCTTCTAGAACAAGAAAACCTGATGATGTTAAAGAAAGAGATGCAGAAAAGGACAAGGAAAGAAAAGCTTCTTCCAGATCAAGAAAACCTGATGATGTAAAGAGAATAGAAGCAGAAAAGGAAAGAAAGCGATTAGCATCTTTACGTCACAAGCAAACTGATAGCACAAAGGTTGATGAAAAACAAAAGGACAAGGAAAGAAAAACTTCTTCTAGAACAAGAAAACCTGATGATGTAAAGAGAATAGAAGCAGAAAAGGAAAGAAAGCGATTAGCATCTTTACGTCACAAGCAAACTGATAGCACAAAGGTTAATGAAAAACAAAAGGACAAGGAAAGAAAAACTTCTTGTAGAACAAGAAAACCTGATGATGTTAAAGAAAGAGATGCAGAAAAGGACAAGGAAAGAAAAGCTTCTTCCAGATCAAGAAAACCTGATGATGTAAAGAGAATAGAAGCAGAAAAGGAAAGAAAGCGATTAGCATCTTTACGTCACAAGCAAACTAATAGCACAAAGGTATATGAAAACGAAAAAGACAGACTGAGGAAAAGTTCTGTTCGCAAAGGTTTGCAAACAGGTGAGAAGAGAAAACTACAAGAAGAAGATGTTACTCGGAAGAAAAGAATGCGTCATTCGTCTGACACCGACAAGGTGATTTCTACTTTTTGGCAACATAAAAATGAAGCTTCAGCACACGTGTGCACATGTTGTCATCGTCAACTATACAGAAATTCAGTGTTCTGTTTCCGAAAAAGTGCATTTCCAACTAATGAATCTTTCCTTGACAAATGCACAAGCAACTTCAAGAGTTTTGGTGGAATAGAATGGATATGTAAAACCTGTAATACATATTTAAAGAAAGAGAAAATGCCTCCTCAGTGTGTATCAAATAAACTGGGGGTTCATGATATTCCAGAAGACCTAAAAGAACTGACAAGCTTAGAATCTAGACTTCTTGCACAGAGATATCCCTTCATGAAAATACTGGCACTTCCAAAAGGAAAACAAAGCGGGATAAAAGGTGCTGTCGTGAATGTACCTGTCACAGCAGAAGTAGTTTGCAGAAGTCTACCTCGCACTCCTTCACAGGCTGGAATCATCCCCCTAAAGTTGAAAAGGAAAATCCAGTATAAAAGTCATGTAACCTATGAAAACATCAGACCTAATGTGGTACTGAGTGCTCTAGAGATGCTAAAGCAGATAAACAAATTCTACAAAGACAGTCAAGAAAATGTAGAGTGGGAGAAGCAATGCATGGAGGAAGATGAAGAAATGTGGAAGGAACTAGTACTTGAAGAGAAAGAGAGATCTACCAATGATGTTCCTGCTGGGGTAGATAGCAGTCACTTTGCTGATGAACTACCAGTACTGTCAACTTCTACAATGGACATTGATGATGAAAATGATGGGGATAATCCTATTTACCAGTCCAATGAATGTGATAAACGAGACAGTGAACAGACCGAGGCAGAAGATGAAGATCCAAGAGATCAACTACGTGGTGTCAACTTTGATACATGTATCCAGCCTACAGACCCGGCCATGAATTCTGATGGCATATTCAGTATTGCTCCAGGTGAGGGGAAGAAACCTATTTCAATAATGATGGATGAACATTGTGAAGAGCAGGCCTTTCCAACCTTGTTTCCAACTGGTGAATTTGGTTTCACTGTTGACAGAACCATCAAGCTCTCTCCAAAGAAGTACTTCAATGCCAGACTTTTGAATAAAGATGCTAGATTTGCACAAAACATTGAATACCTGTTTTTCGCACAGTTTGTCACCGAGTACAAACAGGTCATGGACAACATTTCTATTGCATTACGAAAGGTGCGACTGAGCAGGGATGATTCTGAACATGTGACAGCTGGCATAGTAAATGATAGTGAGAAGCTCAATCGCATCATTTTCAGAGACAAAGCCTATAACATGCTACAGACAGTGCGTGGATCACCACCTTACTGGCAAGGAGTTATGTACAAAATACTAGCTGCTGTCAAACAACTTGGAATGTTCACGTGGTTCCTCACACTATCAGCAGCTGATCTTAGATGGACAGATACACTTCAGGTGATTGCACTTCAGCAGGGACGGACTCTCACAGATGAGGACATTTCTAAAATGACATGGGAAGAAAAGTGCAAGTTGTTGGCTTCAAATCCAGTAACTGCTGCAAGACACTTTGATCACAGACTACAATGCTTCTTCAGAGATGTGATTCTTTCTGACTTGCAGCCACTAGGGAAGGTGACCAATCACATGATAAGGATAGAATTCCAAGGTCGCGGATCACCTCATGCCCATTGTGTTCTGTGGGTAGAAAATGCACCAAGTCATGAAGATACTGAGGAAAATATTTCCAGATTCATAGATAAGTATGTTACTTGTCAGCTTCCTCCATCAGAAGATGATGAACTAATGCACAGCCTTGTTTCAACTCTACAGCGACACTCTCATTCAGCCTCATGCAGGAAGACAGGCAAGAATTGTAGATTTCAGTATCCACGTCCAATTGCTCCTGTCACAGTTGTAGCTGACACACCAAGCACAGAAGATCTTAACATAAGAAAACAAATAGTAGAGGCATCTGCTGAGACCATGAATAAAGTGAAAAATGCACTGGATGAAACCACTGAAGAGGGATTATCAGTGCAAGATGTACTCAGTGATGTGAACACCAGTGAAGATGAATATCTAGATGCATTACGTGTCAATTCCAATGGAAAATCCATCATGTATGCAAGAACACCTCAAGAAACCAACATAAACACATACAACCCAACTCTCCTGAAAGCCTGGCAGGCAAACATGGATATTCAGTATGTGTGCAATCCTTATGCATGTATCCATTACATTGTATCATACATTACAAAGGATGAAAGAGAAATGGGGCTAGCACTGAGGGAAGTCAGTAAAGCCTTCCGTGATGCAGACATTAAGAAAAGAATGAAGCATATAGCTTCATGCTTTCTAAACGTTCGTGAAGTGAGTGCACAAGAAACTGTCTATCGTGTCTTAGGTCTACCACTGTATAGGTCTACATTTCAAACAGTGTTCATCCAGACTGATCTACCAGAGAACAGGGTAGTGTTCTTGAAACCAAAGTGTGTTCTACAAGGAATGGATGCAGATAGTGAAGATGTGTATGCACAAACATTCTCACAGAAGTATGAGCATCGGCCAACAGAATTAGAGCAATTGACACTAGCCGAGTTTGCAAGATGGTACGTCCCTTCCTACAAAACTGATGACATGGAAACTGAGAATGATTTCCAACCGAATCAACTCAAAGAATCATCGACTTCGAAACAAACTATCAAATTAACAGACAAAAAAGGCTACATGAAGAAGCGTAACAAGCCTTGTATTGTCAGGTATCACAAGTTCAGTGAAAATCAAGAAGAAGAGAGATATTGCCACCACATGCTGATGCTGTACCTACCATGGCGAAATGAGGAAACTGACCTCAAGAACAATCATCTGACTTATGCTGATCATTATCACACGATATCAGATCAGATTGAGTCAAAAAGATCAGCATTAGAATCGTTCACAGAAATCATTGAAAATGCTCTTGAACGACATGAAGAAGAGGGGCCTCCTGTTCATGCCTGGGACACGCTAGATACAGGAACTCAACAAGAAAACGCGGAGGTCAATGAAGAACAGTGTCAAATACACCCTGAATACAGCTTCCTTCAACCGAGCTCTGAACACACAGACACAGACATAAAAGAATCTGAAATATGTGCATCACTACCTTTGGCTGTGGAATGTCGACCTGAATATCTTATTGATGAGATATATAGAAGTAAAGTTCAATCTCTCAACCAGGAACAGCGCAAAGTGTTTGACTACATGCAAAACTGGTGCACTGATATCATGAAAAGTGGCAAGACAACCTGCAAAGCCAAAGCCATACACCTCTTTGTAACTGGAGGAGCAGGAACAGGAAAATCTCATCTGATTTTAGCAATTCACCAAATGGCTCTACGTACCTTGCAGAGGGAAGGAACCAATCCTGATGCACACAGAGTACTGTTGACAGCACCTACAGGAACTGCTGCATTCAACATTCATGGAAGTACTTTGCACTCACTGTTTCTCCTTCCTCTTGGCCAAACTAAAGGATACAAAAAGTTGAGTGATGAAAAAAGGAACACACTTCGATGCAAACTACAAGATCTTGAAATCCTGATCATTGATGAGATATCAATGGTAGGATGTGACATGTTGATGACAATAGATCAGCGTCTAAGGGAAATAAAAGGTACAGACATCATCTTTGGTGGAATAACAGTCTTGGCCTTCGGAGATTTGTACCAGTTAGCCCCAGTGTGTCAGCGATTTGTCTTTCAAGAAGTAAAAGACCTGTTCGCTAGATTGGCAGGATCTCTATGGCAGGACAATTTCATGATAGCAGAGCTCACAGAAATCATGAGACAAAAAGATGATAAAGAATTTGCAGAACTTCTGAACAGAATAAGAGAAGGTGTCCACACAGAAGACGATGTAGCAAATTTGCAGCAATGCTGTATCTCGTCAGAAGACAAAATTGATTTGTCAGATGCACTGCATGTGTACTCAACGAACGCAAAGGTTGATGCATACAATGAGGACAAACTTGCACACCTGAAAGGAAGAATTAGGAAATGTGTTGCTATAGATAGGAAACCTAATACCCTGAAAGGTCATGAAATGAACAAAGACTCACGTTTCACTGGTGGATTGCCAGCTGTCCTAGAATTGAAGATAGGGGCAAGAGTAATGCTCATTAGGAATATTGATGTGAACGATGGTCTTGTAAATGGTGCATTAGGAACAATTGTCAGCTTCAATGAATTCAATCCCTCAGTTACCAGTCCTAAGGAAGTCTTAGTCCAGTTTGACAATCCAAGAGTTGGGGCAATGGCTGGAGAAAAGACTTCTATGAATAAGGCTCAACACCCTACTGCAGTCCCTATTGGTGTCATAGAAGCAAAATTTTCAATTTCAGCACGTAATCCCGGACTAGAAATAAAAAGGCAACAATTTCCTCTTCGACTATCATGGGCCACCACTATACACAAGGTGCAAGGACTCACTGTCAAGGATATAGTAGTATCTATGGAAGGGAAGTTCAATGATGGACAATGCTACGTTGCTTTGAGTAGAGTACCAAAGATGTCAGGTCTTCATCTTTTGCAGCTCACACCAAGTAAGATTAAAGCAAGCAGAGCTGTGACCAAAGAGTTGATGAGAATGAGCAATGAAATGTCATTTCAATTCTTCCATGATGAAATTGAGACTGCACTCAAGGATCCTTGCCAAACACAAGTCATTGCTGTGCACAATATAAGATCGTTACCTGCTCATTACGATGATCTCAAGGGACTTCCATTCCTTGACAAATGTACTGCTGTGTGTCTTACAGAAACCTGGCTTCAATCACATCACACTGCTTCCACGTACAATTTGCCAAGCTATCACCAATTACGCAGAGATAGATCCAACACAGAGAAGGGTGGTGGTCTGTGCATGTATATCAGCTCATCTGTAAGGTATCAGACCTTGGATTCATCACGAGACAAACCTGGGATGGAAATTCAGAGCATCATCCTACATCCAGTCAATAGCTCACCATTTCATTTGGTGACCGTCTATAGAAATCCCAAATCTTCATTGGTAGAATTTAGTGACAGATTTAGCCTACTCCTGAGGTCAGTAGGAGCAACAGAAATACCGGCCATAATTGTTGGAGACTTCAATCTTAACCTGCTAAAAGATCAGCATTCAATGGCAGTCCAGCATGAACTGCAACACTATGGATTTCAGCAATGTATCACCAAGCCAACACATGTCAGTGGATCACTGCTGGATCATGTATACTCCAACACACCCTGCACCACATGGCAAACTGCAAGCTACTATAGTGATCATGATGTCATTTGGATCGCAGTCTAAGGTAAGTGGTCCAAAAGTTCATTTCCAGGTATTAACTACATTCAATCAATAGTATCCCACTGATTAAAACTTGAATAATTACTTTAAACGCTTCAATATTTTATTATTTCATAGGTTGATAAAACATAATTGTGGGTCAAACAAAATGATCACTGTCAAATGATTTTTCTTTACCCCCACCCATCCCGTTCTTTTCTTTGTATTCTAAAAATCGAATCGTCTTTCTATGGTTATACATTTGACCTACATGTAATTAGTCCATAATGTAATCAGATCATCTACCTATTATGTTTATATGTCTACATGTAGGTGGTTAGAGAGATTTTAACTTTAAAAAAGCCAACACCTGGAAATTCATTCTATGAGTTGACTTCTGTGACCTATGACCCCTGAGCAAGTTACTACAAAATTAAATCGGATTGTATTCCTTAAGGTCAAGCTGAAAATTGAGAAATTTGTCATTTTGTGTACAAAATGAATGGCAAAGTGAAGTTTCTAGTTTGGTCTATAAATCAGCATAATTTTACTCTTTAGAGTTTAGTTATCATTTATTCAAGCAAAATATTGATACGTAACAACCTCAAGTATCAGAAGTCCTAAAACAATACAATACATAAGATTAAGAATTAAAAACAATAGAATACAAAAGAAATTCATAAAACAATGAAATACATAAGAATTGAAATAGACATGGACAATTTTTTTATGTGATAATGCCCGATAGGCTTTTTAGAAACTTTTTGCCACGAAATCAACTCTGTAAAAGCTTTATTTATGTAATTGTTAATAAAAATCATTATTCATGAATTTGATTTGCATAAATTAGCATAATTGATAAAATAAGTAAATTTCAGCAAAATTATAGTGAGGTCTCTTCCTTTATGCAATTGCATAAATTAGCATAATTGATAAAATAAGCAATTTTCAGCAAAATAATAGTGAGGTTTCTTGCTTTGCGCAATTTCTCAAGACGCGTGCCAAATTTCGAGGCAATCGGCCCCTCCCCCCCCCCCCCCCCCCCCCAGTCAGGGAGGTGCTCAAAATAGCCCAGTTAAGTACGGGTTAAGTAACAGAACATATTTCAAGTGGTTCTTGACATATCATGACAAGTCCTATACATGTAGTCTGAAATTTTCAAGTTGACCTCTATGACCTTTGACATACATGTACTCCAAAATCTAATCTGATCGTTTTCCTATGGTGATATATATACTATCCTTAAGTTTGAAGTTTAAATCTCCAGTGGTTCTTGAGATATTTGATAACAATCTCAATGTATGGAATTTCATAAGTTGACCTCTGTGACCCTTGACCTTTGACCTACGTGCTCCAAAATCTAATCAGATCGTCTTCCTATGGTGATACATACTATCCTTAAGTTTGAAGTTTAAATCTCAAATGGTTCTTGAGATATCGCGCTAACAAACTCAATACAAGGAATTTCATAAGTTGACCTCTGTGACCCTTGACCTTTGACCTACGTGCTCCAAAATCGAATCAGATTGTTTTCCTATAGTGATACACACTATCACTAAGTTTGAAGTTTAAATCTCCAGTGGTTCTTGAGATATCATGATAACAATCTCAATGTATGGAATTTCATAAGTTGACCTCTGTGACCCTTGACCTTTGACATACGTGCTCCAAAATCTAATCAGATTGTCTTCCTATAGTGATACACACTATCACTAAGTTTGAAGTTTAAATCTCCAGTGGTTCTTGAGATATCATGATAACAATCTCAATGTATGGAATTTCATAAGTTGACCTCTGTGACCCTTGACCTTTGACATACGTGCTCCAAAATCTAATCAGATCGTCTTCCTATGGTGATACATACTATTCCCGAGTCTTAAGTTTAAATCTTAAATGGTTCTTGAGATATTGTGATAACGGTCAAACGGGACGGACGGACGGACGTACGGACGGACGTACGGACGGACGTACGGACGGACAACCCGAAAACATGATGCCTCCGGCACCACCTTCGGTGGCGGAGGCATAACAACGAAAGGTCAGAAAAATATGGTAATAGTTGTGATTAGTGCTTGATTCCATAATGAATGAAGATATCATTACCATAAATCTCATAACTAAATTAATTCAGAGAACTTTTATGATGAACTTATTTTTGAAAAAGTCAGAAATTCTCTGGTCCCGTACGTCACGCAGCACATTAATTACATTAAAAAATAATTTATGAATTGGTCAGAACTAAAACTTTCCACAAATGAACTAGCCCAAAATAGCCACAGACTCATACCAAAAGATAGCCATATAAATAATGTCATCCATTGTTATTTCTTCTTTAAAGTCTCTGAATGTCCCGTACGTCACAAAGCAAATAGCTTGGACCTGCCCTAAAGCTGCCACCTTTGACAAGCCGCTGATAACAACTCAAAAACATACGGACGGGACTGGATAAACTTGATGCAAAATACTAGTGAAAATATAGACCCCTACGGGCCCTAGAGGCTAGGCTAGACCTACGAAAAATTATCAAATGTTTAGATTTACCAACTTCAAATTCGAACTTAGACAAGCAGACTAAAGTCAGCGGAATTTGTCAGAACACGACATATTCCTGACGGAAAGGCTGAGTAGTACCGACGTCGACGAAAACATTTCAGTCTTGGCTGTCATGTCCGCGATTGATCGATTTTAGGCGCACATGCCAGCCCCTTTTTCGAACTGTACAACAGCGTGTGTGCAATCTCGCCGCACATGGCGCCAGCTGCTGGAGTGTGTGTGTGCAAAGTATTACGTCTACGTTAAATACTAGGCGCCTAGCTGGCTTAATAGGATCGTTTCGCTGCTATTTGTACCGTGTTTTGTGTCACGATCTCTATTGGTCTCCTAAGAATCTGACAAATATCGCTAAATATTCGTAATTATTAACCATGATTTGAGGCCCGATATTTTTTCACTGCATAACGAGTCACAAAAATAGTGTAAGTTTTACGATTATCTTCTTGAAAAATGAAAAGTTTTGAGGTAAAAGGGGTTTTCCGCGATTTTCTGTTTCAAATGGTCAATTCCGTGAATTCCGTCCGTTTTCCGTGATCGCGGAAAATCAGTGTCCCTAAACTTATTTTCTTATAAAATTGAAGATATTTATGGCGTACATATTCAATACTGAATGAACGCCATTAAACTAGGGCTGCGACGTGTAGTCGAATGCTCGAGTACCCGCACGGTTGACAACTACTCGGGTACGATTTTTCGTACCCGAATATTCGGCCGCAAAAAAAAAAAAAATCTGTCCAGGCCGACGCTTACCCGTCGCGTGCCTGGGTGAGCGGCAGCCGCTGGCATGGTGCCGTTGGTAAAAAATTTTCCCAACTCAAGCACTGTCAAACTCACCACTCAGAAACTGGGACTAGGGAGGCCAATGCCCGTGCGTAAGGCTTCTACACCTACGATTTGTGCGCTCGTCGTCCACTTCAAAAAATTAGCAGAGAGAAAAAAATGATGTAAAAATAAAAATTGATGAAAATAAGAAAAGAAAATACAATGATACATTTCACAACATACCTATAATCACGGATCTGTAACGGTCTTTCACCATTAGTTGACGATCTTGCAGATTTTGATGCATTTTAATCCAATAATTGTCGTAGCAGAAGCTACTTGGCGCGCACGCACCACCGACTAAGAAAACCCTAGAGGGCGTACAGGTTTGCTCACTAAAAACCTTCTCATTGGCAGAAGGTAGACCCTAAAAATATGGGATCCGTTTTGAGTAAAGAACTTTTGATAGAGATCAACATTTCAGATGTTCACAATTGTCACTTCTAACCACTAGAAAATATAAAGAAAAAAGATTATATCTTTTTAAATACAGATTTTTACAAACTGAACATTTGAAGGTAGATAGAGTACGATGTTTATGTCAATCTTGCGTTGGTTTGAGCCCTATAGCTACAGCCATCTCAAAATGAGAAGAAAAACTGAACAGTGGTCTCATTGTTCTAGCCAAATATGGAGGTCTTGCGACATCATAATATGAATATGTATGAGCTCCGGTCATATCACGCGCCAGACAAATCTCTTGTAGTCTCACACACAGTACCTTATTCTCACAGCACTATAGACTCGAGTGTCGAGCTCGTGCAGTAAATCATGCATAAGAAATGTTTAAAAAAGATATTTCAGTAAAAAATGTCTACGTGTGCGACCGATTCAAGGCTAGCCGCTGTTGAGTGATTGCACTTTCGCGCGAAGTTTTAAACTTCATCATGAACTTTGTCCGGACAATGAAACCCCCATTCCCTCGGGCCTGTCTAATTATGAACGTAATTTTGCGACATGAAATATAATTGCTTCAAGGCTCTTACGTACGGATAGGCGTAGAAGGAAATGCCTTCAAAAGAGCTGGATATCTCCTATTTTATGGAACTTATTAAGTCGGCAGATGGGTGAGTTGTCTTAGTGAAATAAAATGCTCTCTTTTAATCTTTGTTTAATTTATTATAAACAAATTAGTAATTAAAAAGTTAGATTTGGGCATTGGCCTCCCTACTGGGACCAAATGTCTGGATTTTTGTTTGGACTTGTAGGAAAATGCATTATTCTGCCATCTTTGGTTTTTTAAAACAGCATTGTTTACTGTCATTATTATTATTAAATCGGCGCCTTCAACTGCAACTCGAAGTAAAATTGCATGCGTTTTCGGCGACAGAACTGGGATACTGCTCCAAAGGTATGGCGGTGGCCAAAAAATCAACAACAAAAACAAAATAAAAAAAAATTCAAAAAAACTTTAAAAAAACATGGCGTCCGAATATTCGAGTATTCGAAGCCTGGGAGAGTACTCGGGTACCTCATTACACAGTTGTGCACAGCCTTACATTAAACTATTACCAAGAACAACAACAGGTCAACGCAATGACATTCAGTGCTTTATCGCGCAATTGTGTGAAAATAGTGCGCAAATACGCTTCGCTCCTTGGCAACGGAGATACCACGCACAAATCGTGTGACCGAATTCTATTCGGTGC